AGATCTGCAGGATGTACTGGCTGCGTCTTTATACACACACAAAAAGAAATGTTGAGAGTCACAAGTTATCAGTAGTCAAACACTGGAAAAGACAATCTGTATTGGTAAGAGTACAGAGTATCTTTGCAGTGTTAACGACAGATAATTGAGAAAGCGACAAGGAAGGTTTTGCTGTTAGTTGTTACGTATTAGGTCATTTTTATTTCGTAACAGCCAATTGATTGTAATTCTAATTCTGACAAGCGTGACCTCCCCATAATCACTCACTGTAGTGTACATTGCAGATCTCGTAAAATCTTACACTTGTGCATGGATGGAGCTATTTCCAGCACAGAAAAATGTTATTTGGGTAATGCCAAGTAAACGTGCATGAGTGTTGGTGGCATTTTTTGTTGTAGCTGTTAAGCAATGTTAGCCAGTGGTTTCTGTTTCTGTTCTGTTTGCGTTAATAAATAAAGAATGAAAACGTAATTTCTGTGGAAACATTTATCAAATATGTGTATCTCATATATGCGCATATAATGCCTGAAGCAAATTAATCCGCTTAAGGATACTGTCAGGGTTACGGACGGGTAACACTGTAAAGGGCATTGCAACAACAATATCCATTACATAAGAAAGTTTCCTGGAATTTTTTTAAATGCTTTAATTTAGGAAATAATTTGAAAAAATGTACGAAAATTTGTAGTGATTTTCAAAACGCAACAATTTCGTAAACAAAGAGCCATAACTTATAGGGTTTGGTGATGGTCAAATGCAGTTGCAGCATGACATCTGACTCATGTTTTCAGACGCACGCGCGCACACAATACACGTTCCACACACACACGTCGTTTTCACACACACACAAATAAACTTCTTACAGTAACATACCAAAATGCAATCTCTTTATATTACAACAAAGCAACTTGGGTGACAGCATACAATTATACTCTCATACTTAAAAATACATATATAAAAATATTATTTAGAACTTAATTTACTAATCTTTTTTATCCTTAAAGGGACAGTAGCCTCTAGGATTTTACTGCATACAACTGTACTTACTGTATAACAAATCGTCTATACCCACACGTATTTGTTAC